TTTTTTTTTTTTTACATACCGTCACCAGTGCCCCCTACAGCGACATCATATAACTGGCATGGCCGGTGATCAGGGGGACACTGACTGGTGACCCCCCTGAAAAAAATATATAACCATATATTTTTTTAATTTTTTTATTATATTTAATTTTTTATTACTTTTTTTTTTATTTTTAAGATTTTTTTTTTTTTTTTTTTTTTTTTTTTTGTGCTTAGCTGTGATTTGGTCACAGCTAATCACATGACATGTGCATGTGATCTCTGTGACCATTCACAGCTAGGCACTAGTATACAATGGATGGCATGAATGAAGCCATCCATTGTATACAACTGTCACGTGACCTGCTGTGATTGGTCACAGCAGGTCACATGGTACCCCGGCAACGGGGGCCGAGGGTGGGACCGGTACCGGATCTGTCATCGCCGTGTCCGAGGTGCACGGGCGGTGACAGATCGCACTGCTGCGTCACTCTGCATTAGCGCAAACCGCGCATGTGCGGGGAGCACGCCCCCAAATGGCGTATACCCGGAGTGAAGAGACACATCTGAAGCCGGCAAACGGCCATTGGCCGGGCGGCTAATGGTTTTTTAAAGAATGTCATTAGCGGGTTGCCAGGGGAGAGGTGGCGGGGGAGGACCCGGTGGTGAGGACCCAGGGGAGAGGGGGGGACATCTATAGACACGCACACGGATGTCTCCCATAGACGCGCAGACCAAGAAGTGAGAAGTCCTCTCATAGATGGCTGTTACTGCTGGAAGATTCCTGGTGACAGATCATCATTTTCAATTTTCTCCCCATCACTTTCTGTTCCATTGATGGTGGCGCCCCCTGGGGGCACAGAGTGACTTCCCCTAGTTGCACCAACGGCAAACCCCTCCTACACCCCACCCAAAACGAATCCCCCCCCCCCCCCCCCCCCCCCCCCCCCCCCCCCCCCCCCTGGTGGGCCATGTTGTCACCATTGTGCTCTTCCTTACAGAATAATATCAAAAGCCTGGAAGGTGAAGTCGGAGCGTTGCAGAAAGAGAAGGAAGAACTGATTCTGGCTCTTCACTCTGCCAAGAAAGACACCAACCAAGCCAAGTAAGTGGTGGGCTGTGCCATCCGTATGTGGGGGGGGTGCCGTGTGCAGCGGGCTGTGCCATCCGTATGTGGGGGGGTGCAGCGGGCTGTGCCATCCGTATGTGGGGGGGTGCAGCGGGCTGTGCCATCCGTATGTGGGGGGGTGCCGTGTGCAGCGGGCTGTGCCATCCGTATGTGGGGGGGGTGCCGTGTGCAGCGGGCTGTGCCATCCGTATGTGGGGGGGGGGTGCCGTGTGCAGCGGGCTGTGCCATCCGTATGTGGGGGGGTGCCGTGTGCAGCGGGCTGTGCCGTCCGTCCGTGCGCGGGGGGGGGGCATGTGCAGCGGGCTGTGCCGTCCATATGTGGGGGGGGGCCGTGTGCGGCAGGCTCAGCCATTGCCTGAACGGAAGCATCTAATTGGTTCCCGAATGCTGGCGGAGACCAGCGTGTATGGGTACATGGAGGAGGGGTTCTTTACTGAAACTGGAGAGTCTGGAGCAGCTCTGCATGGCAACCAATCAGCTTCCAGGTGTTATTGTCAAAGCTTCTTCCAATAAACTGACGTTCGAAGCTGATTGGCTGCCGGATTCTGAGTGCTCCAGTACTTCATATAGTGACGTCAATTTACACCGCTATATATATCTTTCTCTTCGCCTTCCTCTCTTTCTCTTCGCCTGTTTCCTCGCCTTTTTCTCTCCCCTCCCTCTTTGCCTTTTTTTTCTCCCCCTCCTCTTTGCCTTTTTTTTTCTCCCCCCTCCTCTTTGCCTTTTTTTTTTTCTCCTCCCCTCCTCTTTGCCTTTTTTTTTCTCCCCTCCTCTTCGCCCTTTTCCCTCCTCTCCTCTTCGCCCTCCTCCTCCCCTCCTCTTCGCCCTTTTTCCATCCCCTCCTCTTCGCCCTTTTTCCCTCCCCTCCTCTTCGCCCTTTTCCTCCCCTCCTCTTTCCCTCCCTCCCCTCCTTTTTCCCTCCCCCTCCTCCCTCCCCTCCTTTTTCCCTCCTCCCCCCCTCCCCCTTTCCCTCCCTCCCCTCCCCTTCCCCTTTTCCTCCCCTCCTCCTCCCCCCTCCCCTCCTCTCGCCCTTTCCTCCCCCCCTTTTTCCTCCCCCCCTCCTTTTTCCCCCCCTCCTTTTTCCCCCCCTCCTCTTCTCGCCCTTTTCCTCCCCTCCTCTTCGCCCTTTCCCTCCCCTCCTCTTCGCCCTTTTCCTCCCCTCCCCCTTCCGCCCTTTTCCTCCCCCTCCCCCTTCTCCCCCCTTTTCCCTCCCCCCCTCTTCGCCCTTTTCCTCCTCCCCTCCCCTCTCCCCGCCCTTTTCCTCCCTCCTCTTCCCCTTTTCCTCCCTCCTCCTCCCCTCGCCCCTTTTCCTCCCCTCCCCTCCTTTTCGCCCTTTTCCTCGCCTTTTTCCCCCCCCTCCCCTTCGCCCTTTCCTTTTCCCCACCCCCTCCTCTTCGCCCCTTTTCCTCCCCTCCCTTTTTCCCCCCCCCCCCTCCCCTTCTTTCTCCCCTCCTCTTTGCCTTTTTTTCTCTCCCCCCCCTCTTTGCCTTTTTTTTTCTCCCCTCCTCTTTGCCCCCCTTTTTTCCCCCCTCCTCTTTGCCTTTTTTTTTCCCCCCTCCCTTCGCCCCTTTTCCCCTCTCCCTCTTCGCCCCCCCCTCCTCTCCTCTTCGCCCTTTTTTCCCCCCCTCCTCTTCCCCTTTTTCCTCCCCCTCCTCTTCGCCCTTTTCCTCCCCTCCTCCCTCCCCCGCCCTCCCACCCCCCCCCCCCCCCCCCCCCCCCCCCCCCCCCCCCCCCCCCCCCCCCCCCCCCCCCCCCCCTCAGGCACAGGGAGAACATGCAAACTCCAGGCAGGTGATGCCGTGGTTGGGATTGGAACCAGCGACCCGAGTACTGCCAGGCGGAAGTGCCAACCATGGTGTTTTGTGTATGGACATTGTAGCGCTTTTCCTCCCTGTAGGCTCAGCGAGCGCCGGAGGAAGAGATTGCAGGAGTTGGTGAGGGTCAGATGACCGACCTGAAGAAGAAGCTCCATGAACAGTCAAAGCTGCTGAAACTTCTCCGAGAATCCACCGAGAAAACCGTCGGCAAACTGAACCAGGAGATCCAGGTAAAGCTGCACCGCAATGGTCATTTCTCTTCTCATCTCACCTCCATGCTGTGGCTCCAGGTCAGAGGTAGGCTATCTCTGTGCCGAAACTACAAATCCCCACCCTGCCCGGCACTCCAATTCGCGCCTGTCCCGCCACGCCTCCAGGGTCGCGCCTGTGGCCACGCCTCCAGGAGTCGCGCCTGTGGCCACGCCTCCAGGAGTCGCGCCTGTGGCCACGCCTCCAGGAGTCGCGCCTGTGGCCACGCCTCCAGGAGTCGCGCCTGTGGCCACGCCTCCAGGAGTCGTCCGCGCCTGTGGCCACGCCTCCAGAGTCGCGCGCCTCCATGATACTTGTAATTCCACAACAGCTGAAGTGCCTAGTCCTTGCTCTAGCCAACCTAGGGCATGCATGCCAGGACAGACACGTGGTGTCCTTCTTGGTGTCAGCCAGAAGATCATCTGGTCCACCAAAAGGACTGATGGGCCCCCAACCCCCACTGCCACGAGCTGGAGTTGTGAGCTCACTACACTGATGAAATTCAAAGCCTGGCCTGCCCATCTGCACTCTCCCTGCTCTCCGCACCAGCATGGGCCTTCCTGCAGCTGCAGACATCGGGCTGCCTTTCTACACTTAGTGCGGTGGTCTCCAAACTGCGGCCCAGGGGCCGGATGTGGCCCTTTGCTTTTCCTCCCACTGACATCAGCAATGGGGCATAATGCCTGCTACAGACATCAGCAATGGGGCATAATCCCTGCTACAAACAATCAGCAATGGGGTCCACTGACACCATCAATGGGGCATAATGCCTGCTACTGACATCAGCAATGGGGTCCACTGACACCAACAATGGGTCCTTATTTGTCCCATGGACACCAACAGGGCACTGTTCCTCTCACTGACACTGATGGGCCCACTGACACCAACAGGGCACTGTTCCTCCCACTGATGACATCAACAATGGGGCATAATTCCTGCTACTGACATCAGCAATGGGGGCCCACTGACACCCAACAATGGGTCCTTTATTTTCTCCCCATTGCAACTGACACCAAGGAGGGGCACTGTTCCTTCCACGGACACCAAGGATGGGGCCCACTGACACCAACAGGGCACTATTCCTCCTACTGACACCAGCGATGGGGCACTGTTCCTCCCACTGACACCAGAAATTCACATTGTTTTACTAACTCCCACTGACACCAGGGGGGGTACAACCATTTGAACTCCAATAGCCACAGAGAGCCGAGTTCTCTATAATCCGCTACTGCCCCCCCCCCCCCCTCCCCCAAAAAAAAAATCTGAAGGCCCTTTTTGTTTTTAGAAAGTTTACAGAAATTGGTGTCGGTCTGGGTGTGAAGGGGCGGATCGTAGCCTGGGAGGATCTGATTACTGAAAGCTGGGTTGTCCAGCGCTGGGAAACGCCCCGGACCTATTGCTGACCAATGCTGCCGTGTTTAGAATTCAAGTTTTTTTTTTTGTCTTTTTTGCAGGCCATGAAAATGCAGCGGGTTCAGCTTATGAGGCAAATGAAAGAAGATTCTGAGAAGTTCCGCTCCTTCAAGCAGCAAAAAACCGGAAGTCATTCAACTGAAAGAGCGGGTATGGACCGGAACTTCTAGGATTGTCTGTGATTCACGTGTAGTGCCCGGGTATGCCCGTGTAGTTGCCCGGTGCAGTGCCCGGTGTAGTGCCTTGACAGGTTTGTTTTGTTTTGCTAGTGACCCGCAAAGCGTCAATACGAACTGCTGAAGCGGAGAGAGATTTCCAGAAGCAAGCCAGTGTACTCCGGAGGAAAACCGAAGAGGTTCACAACATGCTTTACTCCCCGGACCCCCGCATTCACTATATCCGCTCTCCCCGGACCCCCGCATTCACTATATCCGCTCTCCCCGGACCCCGCATTCACTATATCCGCTCTCCCCGGACCCCGCATTCACTATATCCGCTCTCCCCGGACCCCGCGTTCACTATATCCGCTCTCCCTGGACCCTGCATTCACTATATCCGCTCTCCCCCGGACCCCGCATTCACTAATATCCGCTCTCCCCGGACCCCGCATTCACTATATCCGCTCTCCCCGGACCCCGCGTTCACTATATCCGCTCTCACCCCCTCCCCGGACCCCGCATTCACTATATCCGCTCTCCCCCCGGACCCCGCGTTCACTATATCCGCTCTCCCCGGACCCCCGCGTTCACTATATCCGCTCTCCCCGGACCCCGCATTCACTGTATCCGCTCTCCCCCCCGGACCCCGCATTCGCCTATATCCGCTCTCCCCGGACCCCGCATTCGCTATATCCGCTCTCCCCGGACCCCGCATTCACCGTATATCCGCTCTCCCCGGACCCCGCATTCACCGTACCCCGTATCCGCTCTCCCCAGACCCCGCATTCACCGTATCCGCTCTCCCCGGACCCCGCATTCACTATATCCGCTCTCTCCCGGACCCCGCATTCACTATATCCGCTCTCCCCGGACCCCGCATTTCACTATATCCGCTCTCCCCGGACCCCGCGTTTTCACTATATCCGCTCTCTCCCGGACCCCGCGTTCACTATAATCCGCTCTCCCCGGACCCCGCGTTTCACTATATCCGCTCTCTCCCCGGACCCCCAGCGTTCACTATATCCGCTCTCCCCGGACCCCCGCATTCACTGTATCTCCGCTCTCCCCGGACCCCGCATTCGCTATATCCGCTCTCGCCCCTTGGACCCCGCATTCACTATATCCGCTCTCCCCCAGGACCCCGCATCTCACCGTATCCCCTACTCCCCCCGGACACTATATCCGCTCTCACCCCGGACCCCCGCATTCACCGTATATCCGCTCTCCCCGGACCCCCGCATTCACCGTATCCGCTCTCCCCCGACCCCGCATTCACTATATCCGCTCTCCCCACGGACCCCGCATTCACTATATCCGCTCTCCCCGGACCCGCATCACTATATCCGCTCTCCCCGGACCCCGCATTCACTATATCCGCTCTCCCCGGACCCCGCGTTCACTATATCCGCTCATCCGCTCTCCCTCGGACCCCGCGTTCACTATATATCCTCGCTCTCCCCGGACCCCGCGTTCACTATATCCGCTCTCCCCCGGACCCCGCGTTCACTATATCCGCTCTCCTCAAACCCGGACCCCGCGTTCACTATATCCGATCCGCTCTCCCGGACCCCGCGGTCATCTATATCCGCTTCAGTCACCGGACCCGCGTTTCACTATATCCGCCTCACTATTGATCAAAAGGGACCCGGGACCCCGCGTTCACTATATCGACCCGCTCTCCCTCCCCGGACCCCGCGTTCACTATATCCCTCGCTCTCCCCGGCTACGTGCCCGCGTTCACTATATCCCCCCCCGCTCTCTCCCCGGACCCCGCGTTCACTATATCCGCTCTCTCCCGGACCCCCGCGTTCACTATATCCCGCGTCTCATCCCCGGACCCCGTCGCTTCACTATATCCGCCGCTCTCCTCGGACCCCCCGCGTTCACTATATCCATGCTCACTCCCCCGACCCCCGCGTTCACTATATCCCTCTCTACCCGGACCCCGCGTTCACTATATCCGCTCACCGCCCGGACCCCGCTTCACTATATCCGCTCTCCCCGGACCCCGCGTTCACTATATCCGCGTTCACTATATCCGCTATCACTCTCCCGGTACCCCGCGTTCACTATATCCGCTCTCCCGGACCCCGCGGTCACTATATCCGCGTTCACTATACCTACGCTCTCACCGGACCCCGCTTTCACTATATCCGCTCTCCCGGACCCCAACGTTCACTATATCCGCTCTCCCAACCTCTAGACCCCGCGTTCACTATATATCCGCTCTCCCCCCCCCGGACCCAGCGTTATGGAGCACTATTGTATATCCGCTCTCCCCGGGACACCCGCGTTCACTATATCCGCTCTCCCCCCGGACTCCCGTCTTCGACTATATCCGCTCTCTCCCGCTGACCCCGCGTTTCATCACTGTATTCCATCGCTCTCCCCGGACCCCCCGCGTTTCCCTGTACCCCGCCAGTCGCTCATCCCACGGACCCCCGCGTTCACTATGTCCGCTCTTCCCCGGACCCCCAGACGCGTTCACTGTGTCCGAACTCTCAGCCCCCCCCGGATCCCCGCCTTCCCTGTGTCCGCTCTCCTCCCCCCGGACCCCCGCCTTCCCTGTGTCCGCTCTCCCCCCCCGGACACCCCCGCCTTCCCTGTGTCCTGCTCTCCCCCGCCCGGACCCCCCGCCTATCCCTGTGTCCGCTCTCCCCCCCCCCCTGGACCCCGCCTTCCCGTGTTCCCGCTCTCGTCGCCCACCCACGGACCACCCGCCTTCCTGGTGTCCAGCTTCTCCCCACCCCCGGACCCCGCCTTCCCCTGTGTCCGCTCTCACCCCCCCCGGACCCCCCCCGCCTTCCCCTGTGTCCTCCGCTTTCCCCCCCCCCCCGGACCCCGCGCTTCCCTTTGTCCGTTCCCCCCCCCCCGGACCCACGCCTTCCGCTGTGTCCGCTCTCTCCCCACCCCCCCCCCCCCCGGACCCCGCCTTCCAGCTGTGTCCGCTCTTCCCCCCCCCCCCCCCCCACCGGGGTCCGTTTCATATGCCCCCGATGTCCCTTTCTCGCCACCCACGGTGTCCGCTGCCTCTTCCCCCCCCCCCCCCGGAAACCCCGCCTTCCCTGTGTCCGCTCTCCCATCCCCCCCCCCCCCCTCCCCGACAACCCCGCCTTCCCTGTGTCCCTCCTCTCCCCCCCCCCCCCCCCCCGGACCCCCCCCACCCCCCCCCCGAACGCCTTCCCTGTGTCCGCTCTCCCCCCCCCCCCCCCCACCCCCCCGGACCCCCGCCTTCCCTGTGTCCCGCTCTCCCCCCCCCCCCCCCGGACCACCCCGCCCTTCCCTGTGTCCGCTCTCCCCCCCCCCCCCCCCCCCCCCCCCCCACGGACCCCCACCTTCCCTGTGTCCCCGCTCTCCCCCCCCCCCCCCCCCCCCACGGACCCCGCCTCTTCCCTGTGTCCGCTCTCGCCCCCCCCCCCCCCCCCCGGACCCCTGCCCCGTGCCTTCCCTGTGTCCGCTCTCCCCCCCCCCCCCCCCCCCGCTTCCCCGCCTTACCCTGTGTCCGCTCTCCCCTCCCCCCCCGGACCCCGCCTTCCTGTGTCCGCTCTCCCTCCCCCCCCGTACGGACCCCGCCTTCCCTGTGTCCGCTCTCTCCACCCCCCCCCCGACTCCCCCGCCTTCCCTGTGTCCGCGTCTCCCTCCCCCGGACCCCGCCTTCCCCTGTGTCCGCTCTCCCTCCCCCCGGACCCCTCGCCTTCCCTGTGTCCGCTCTCCCTCCCCCGGGACCTCCCGCCCCCGGACCGCTCTCCTCCCCCGCCTTCCCTGTGTCCGCTCCCTCCCCCGGACCCCGCCTTCCCTGTGTCCGCTCCCTCCCCCGGACCCCGCCTTCCCTGTGTCCGCTCCCTCCCCCGGACCCCGCCTTCCCCTGGGTCCCGCTCCCTCCCCCGGACCCCGCCTTCCCTGGTCCGCTCCCTCCCCCGGACCCCGCCTTCCCTGGGTCCGCTCCCTCCCCCGGGACCCCGCCTTCCCTGGGTCCGCTCCCTCCCTCCTCCCCCGGACCCCGCCTTTAAATCTCCATGTTAAATGCTCATTTTAGGCAGCAACTTCCAATAAGCGTTTGAAGGAAGCCCTGCAGAGGCAGAAGGAGGCCATGAGACAGACGACTCAAAGATTCCCAGAAATAGAGGCATGGAGGGCGCGGCCACTAGAGTGAAGGTATGTCCACCAATAGGATGGCTGCTCAGTTTAGGTGCACCCACTTTTCTGGGCCCCAAAATCACCCGCGGTCCAGGCAACCTGCTCCACCTTAATGATTTCTTCTCCCCCCTAGAACTGGCTCGCCAATGAGGTGGAGGTTCTTGTGAGCACCGATGAAGCCCAAAGGACACCTGAATGACCTTCTTGAAGACCGAAAAAGATCCTGGCTGCAGATATATCCCCCCTCAGCTGAAGCAGAAGGATGGAAGCGGGAGAACGAATCCCTCCGAAGATCCGGTGTGAGTGCGGCCATTGAGCCTGTCCTCTGTAACAAATCCCGCCCAATGGGGGGTCGGGGCACCTTCAATTCTTGGTGTTGCATCCATTGAGAGACACAGGAAGTCGTTTAATGCCGATTTCTAATCGGATTTGAAAAAATGAATGAAAGTCGGCGACAAAAACTGTTTCTGCTGATATTTAATAAACTTTACCTGCCCGGGGTCCAGCACTGTTCTCACCCGAGCCGCCCCCCGCTGCCTTCAGACCCGCCGTCCGCCTTCGCCGCCCGTCCGCCTTCTCCGCCGCCGCCCGTCCGCCTTCTTCCGCCCCCGCTGCCGCCCGTCCGCCTTCGCCGCCCCTCCGCCTTTCCTTCTCCGCCGCCGCCCGTTCCGCCTTCTCCGCTCGCCGCCGCCCACGTCTCGGTCCGTCTTCTCCGCCGCCTTCTCCGCCCCCGCTGCCCGCCCGTCCTTGCATTCGCCGCCCCGTCCGTCCTTCCTTCTCCTTCTCCGCCGCCGCCCGTCCGTCTTCTCCGCCGCCTTCTTCGCCTCCTCTCTCCTTTTTCGCCGTTCCGTCTTCTTTTTTGCCGTTCGCCTTCACCGCCTTTTTTCTTTTTCTCGCCGTCCGTCTTCTTTTCTTCTTCTCCGTCGTCTTCTTCTTTTTCGCCGTCCGTCTTCGCCGCCGTCCGTCGTCTTCTTTTTTTTTCGCCGCCGTCCGTCTTCGCCGCCGTCCGTCTTCTTCTTCTCTTTTTCGCCGTCCGTCTTCGCCGCCGTCCGTCTTCTTTTTCGCCGTCCGTCTTCGCCGCCGTCCGTCTTCTTCTTCTCTTTTTCGCCGTCCGTCTTCGCCGCCGTCCGCTCTCCTCTTCTTCTTTTCGGCGTCCGTCTTCGCCTTCTTCTTTTTCGCCGTCCGTCTTCGCCGCCGTCCGTCGTCCTTTCTTTTTTCGCCGTCCGTCTTCGCCGCCGTCCGTCTTCTTCTTCTTCTTTTTCGCCGTCCGTCTTCGCGCCGTCCGTTTTCTTCTTCTTCTTTTTCGGCGTCCGTCTTCGCCTTTTTCTTTTTCGCCGTCCGTCTTCGCCGCCGTCCGGTCCGTCGTTCTTCTTCTTTTTCGCCGTCCGTCTTCGCCGCCGTCCGTCTTCTTCTTCTTCTTTTTCGCCGTCCGTCTTCGCCCGCCGTCCGTGTCTTCTTCTTCTTTTTCGCCGTCCCTCTCTCGCCGCCGTCCGTTCGTCTTCTTTCTTTTTCCGCCGTCCGTCTTCGCCGCCGTCCGTCGTCTTCCTCTTCTTTTTTCCGCCGTCAGTCTTTGCCGCCGTCCGTCGTTGCTTCTTCTTTCTTTTTTTCGCCGTCCGTCTTCGCCGCCGCCGTCTTCTTCTTTTTTCGCCGTCCGTTTCTTCTTCTTTTTCGCCGTCCGTCTTCGCCGCCGTCCGTCTTCTTCTTTCTTTTTCGCCGCCGTCCGTCTTCTTCTTCTTTTTCGCCGTCCGTCTTCGCCGCCGTCCGTCTTCTTCTTCTTTTTATTCGCCGTCCGTCCGTCTTCTTTTTTACTTTTTCGCCGTCCGTCTTCGCCGCCGTCCGTCGTCTTCTTCTTCTTTTTCGCCCGTCCGTCTTCGCCGCCGTCCGTCGTCGTCTGTCTTCTTTTTCGCCATCCGTCTTTGCCGCTGTCCGTCCCGTCTTCTTCTTTCTTTTTCGCCGTCCGTCTTCTTCTTCTCCGCCGTCCGTCTCTTCTTCTCCGCCGTCCGTCCGTCCGTGGAGTCTTCTTCTTCATCTTCTCTCCGCCGCCCGTGAAGATCATCCGTTGTCTTCTTCTCCTCCTCATCCTCCGTCTTCTTCAGTCCCCAGCACTGCAATCCTAAAATCACACTAAAGCTTAGTTACAAAACAAAATGTTGTCCTTCCCTGCTCTGTACAGCGTGTTTCGCAGAGAGCAGCCCCAATCCTTCTTCGGGTCCCCTGCTGGCACCTCTCCCTGGCTTCTATCACGACTCAAGCAATGCTCCCAGGAAGCGTGCCCTGGGGCCACCACTTTCTGCTTGTCCCTGAGCCGCTGCTAGAGAGAACTGACAGACGTATCGATCGATTCTGGCTACATCTTCGTGACCGCGAGCTGATTTTTTCTGTTTTGATTTTCTAGAGACGAACCTACACAGTGGCAGAACTGGAGCACTCATGGAGGAAGAGTCGTCCATCACCAGACAGATCGAGAGCCTAGTAGACTGAGATGGAGCTCCGGTCAATGTTCCCAGATCCAATCTATAAATTGAAAGCCGCTCCTCTTTGCGCTCCCCCACCCCCCTCTGTGCGCGTCCCCCCCCCCCCTCCCCTCTGTGCGCGTCCCCACCCCCCTCTGTGCGCGATCCCCCACCCCCCTCGTGTGCGCGTCCCCACACCCCCGCTCTGGTTTCATTTTTTTTTTTTTTTTTTCTTACATACTGTGTTGAAATGCGTTTTTTATATATTACAAATTATCTGAAAAAATATTTTTACAAATATAAATACCTAAAATTATAACATATTAATTTTAAGAAATTATATATAAATATATATATATTTTTATTTTTATTTTATTTCATAATTTTGTAATCTATAATAAAAAATCTAATAAAAAAATAAATATATTGAATAAAAATTGTAGTATTTTAAGTAAAATCAATATATTATTGGGAAAGAATATTTTTTTTCTTCCATTTTGAACAAAAAAACTACATTTTCCAGCAAATAATATTTTACACCTCCATATTCGTAAAAAAAGCAGATGTGGGTCAGGGCCATCCAAGGATAAAAAAATAAAAGGTAGGGGGTGGGATTGTGAGCCCCGGGGATATTTCGTTTTTTTTTTATCCTGATTGGACCAAGTTCAAATTCTTGTCTATTAATGGAAACTTTTTGTTAAACCGTACGTTCATTCAAAATATAGTTCGAAGTACTCGAGCATGGCGTAATCCCAACCGTGACAACACTGCCATCTTTCACCGGATTTTGTCGATTGCTTGTTTAAATTATATAATAAAATTGCAATCCCGCCAGTGTTCGTGAGGCCTTCGAAGGGAAAATAAAAACCGGTAAACAAAAAAAAAAAAATTACTGCTGATCGATTTCTGATTTTGATATTCTGTTGAAAAATTTTTAAATAAGGAGCTAATTCAAATCGCAGACTTGCAGCAAAAAAATGCTCGCGATGCAGCCAATTTGAGGAAGAACGGGCACTGAAACGGAGATGGAAATATTTCACAAAATCTTTGGGCCAAATGTTTTTTTGAAATATTTAATGGGGGAGGTAAGTTGTCCAATTTATTTAAATAAAATTTTTTGACTGTTTGTTCTTTTAATCATTATTCAAATGTAAAATTGTATTTTAAAAAAAAAAAAATTCCTTTTTTTTTTAAAAAAAACTTTTTTTTCTTTTTTTCTGCTAAATTTTTTAGAAACCCTTTTATTATTTTTTGTTTTTTTATTTGCTTTTGCTTTTTTTTTATTATATATTTTTTCTGCTTTTTTTTTTTTTTCCGCCCTTTTTTTTTTTTTTTTTTTTCGCCCTTTTTTTTCTGCTTTTTTTTTTTCGCCCTTTTTTCTGGTTTTTTTTTTTTTTTTTTTTTTTTTTTTTTTTTTTTTTTCAATCTTTTTTTTTACATTTTCTTTTTTTTTTTTTTCTTTTCGCCTCTTTTTTTCTGTTCTTTTTTTTTAGCCCTTTTTTTTCTGCCCTTTTTTTTTTTTTTTTTTTTTTTTTTTTTTTTTTAATTTTTTTTTTAATATTTTTTTTCTTTTTTTAAAATGTTTTTTTTTTTTTTTTTTTTTCCCCACTTTTTTTAAAAAATTTTTTTTTTTTTCGCCCTTTTTTTTTTTGCTTTATTTTCTGTGCCCGCTTTTTTTTCTTTATTTCTGCTTTTTTGGCCCCTTTTTTTCGCTATTTTAATTTTTTTTCTGCTTTTTTTTTTTTTTTAAAAATCTTTTTCCTGCTTTTTTATTAAATTTTTTTCTTTTTTTTTTCGATTTTTTTTTTTTTTTTTTCGCTTTTTATTCTTTTTTCGCTTTTTTTATGCTTTTTCTTCTTGCGTATTTTTTTTTAATAATATCTTTTTTTTTAAATTGCTTTCTTTTAATTTTTTTCTCTTTTTTTTTCGCGCTTTTTTTATTTCGCTAAATTCTGCTTTTTCGCTTTTTTTTCGCTGCTTTTTTTTCCGCTTATTTCTCTGCTTTTTTTTCCGCTTTTTCGCTGCTTTTTTTTTTCTTTTTCTCTGCTTTTTTTTTGTTTTTTTTTTCGCTTTTTTTTCTGCTTTTTCTTTCGCTTTTTCTCTGCTTTTTTTTTTTATTTTTTTTTTCCGCTTTTTTCTCTGCTTTTTTTCCGCTTTTTTCTATGCTTTTTTTTTTTTTTTTTTTGCCGCTTTTCTCTGTGCTTTTTTTTTTTTTTTTTTTTTTTTTTGTGTTTTTTCGCTTTTCTCTGCTTTTTTTTTATTTATTTCAGCTTTTTAGTCACTGGCGATGTAAAAATACCGCGCGATTTGTGTGCTATTTCTAAGACTTGATTGCGACTTGTGAAGATTTTCAAAAGATTTCTTGCGATATTTGCATTGCGATTTCCATTCTATCCTAAACGTATATGTGAAATCACAAAAAGGAAAAGTCACGCAAGAACTACTTTAGAAATCTAGTTGCAGCAAATCGCACGTTAAGACACCGACATTCATTAGCTGCGATTTGCAAATTGCACCGGTGTGGCTTGACACCAAATGGAGACACCCCCCCCCCCCCCCCCCCCTCCCATCACCCAACTTACAATTGAATGTTAAAACATAGGAAGTATTTTTATAAAGGGTTTGTTAACCCCATGTATTTTATAATGGAATATTTTTATTTAAAAAAAAACTTTTTTTATGATTCAAAAAATTATATATACTGTGTTTTTATGATATTTTATATAAAAATATACAGTTATTTTTTTGAAACAGTGTTTTTATGATTAATAAAATATCATAAAAAAATACAGTAATATTTTTTTAAATACTTCATTATAAAAAATTATACACTATATTTATATATATATATATTATTATATTTTTTTTTAATCAAGTTTTTTGATTAAAAATTATATATACTGTATTTTTAGAATATAAAATATAATAAAAATACATATAATTTTGAATAATCAGTGATTCCGTTATGATTAAAAATTATACTGTTTTGTATTTTCTTATTTTATATATATATAATATATATCTTATTAAAAACCTTTTCATTCAAAAAAAAATACTGTATCTTTTTTTATAATCAGAGTTTTTTGATTAAAAATTATACTGTATTTTTTATTTATGTGTGTATGTGTGTATATATAATATATAAAAATAATATTCATATAATATAATATATTAAAAACCATTCATAAAAAAATTACAGTACATATACTTTGATCAAAGTGTTTTTTTTATGATTAAAAATTATACTTTTTTTTTTTTTATAATAAAATATAAAACTATACAGCATATATAATTTTTTGAATAGTGTTTTTGATTAAAAATTATACTGTATTAAAAAATATACAGTATATAGAATTTTTAATCATAAACTGATTCAAAAATTATACTGTATATATTTTTTTTTTTAATAATGAAATATATTTTATTAAAATATAATTTTTAAAATTTATTTTCTCTCCCCAAATGTCTTCTAGCTGGTCTCTGCCAAAGTTCAGGGCAGTAAACTGGAGAGCAGCGTGAAGCAGGGCCGGGCGCAGTCCGCCGATCTCCAGAAAACCATCTTTGAAGAAAGGAAGCAGATGGCGGAGATGGAGACGGAACATCAGAGTCAGCTCATGCAGATGGAGCAGCAGCATCAGGAGAAGGTGATTCCCTCCCGGGTCTCTGAGCTGGAAGTCCCGGCTGGCGTTTCCCTCCCGGGTCTGTGAGCTGGAAGTCCCGGCGGGCGATTCCCTCCCGGGTCTCTGAGCTGGAAGTCCCGGCGGGCGTTTCCCTCCCGGGTCTCTGAGCTGGAAGTCCCGGCTGGCGATTTCCCCTCCCGGGTCTGTGAGCTGGAAGTCCCGGCTGGCGTTTCCCCTCCCGGGTCTGTGAGCTGGAAGTCCCGGCTGGCGTTTCCCTCCCGGGTCTGTGAGCTGGAAGTCCCGGCTGGCGATTCCCTCCCGGGTCTGTGAGCTGGAAGTCCCGGCTGGCGATTCCCTCCATCTGTTGGCTTTGATATGTGAAATCCCGAAGACTGAAATGGTTCCCTCAGCGAATTTGATTTTGAAAGTCTTTCCTCTGTAGATTCCCTCCTCAGGTCAGCTGCAGCAGGAAGTCCGGTGTCTCCGGCTGGGAGCCGTCTGATGACAACTGAAGAAAATCGACCGAAAGGGAGAAGCATTTGTCAGAGAGACGAAGTTGTGAGGTGAATGTTCCGGCGGGCGATTCCCTCCTTTCTAAGCTGAATTGCCCGGCTTACCTTTCCGCTGCCCACGGAGGCACTGAGCTGGCAAGTCCCGTGTGTGTGGTGTGTCCCTCCCGTGTGTAGCATACATGATTTTGCATTTCTGGCTGGCGGGCACGTTTACCCTCCGCCCTTTGGGATGTCAAATCAACTGGAAGTCAACCAGTGATAACGACCGCCGGGCTCCCGGTGATCACTGAGCTGGAAGTCCCGGCTGGCGTTTCCCTCCCGGGTCCCTGAGCTGGAAGTCCCGGCTGGCGTTTCCCTCCCGGGTCTCTGAGCTGGAAGTCCCCGCGGGTGATTCCCTCCCGGGTCTGTGAGCTGGAAGTCCCGCGCGGGCTGCTTTCCCTCCCGGGTCTGTGAGCTGGAAGTCCCCGGGCTGGCGTTTCCCTCCCGGGTCTGTGAGCTGGAAGTCCCGGCTGGCGATTCCCTCCCGGGTCTCTGAGCTGGAAGTCCCGGCTGGCGTTTCCCTCCCGGGTCTGTGAGCTGGAAGTCCCGGCGGGCGTTTCCCTCCCGGGTCTGTGAGCTGGAAGTCCCGGCGGGCGTTTCCCTCCCCCCCCCTGTGAGCTGGAAGTCCCGGCTGGCGTTTCCCTCCCCCCCTGTGAGCTGGAAGTCCCGGCGGGCGATTCCCTCCCGGGTCTGTGAGGCTGGAAGTCCCGGCTGGCGGATTCTCTGCATCTGTTGGCTTTGATATGTGAAATCTGAAGACTGAAATGGTTTCTCAGCAGAATTTATTTTGTTTTTCTTTCCTCTGTAGATTCTTTATCTCCTCAGTCAGCTGCAGCAGAAACAGCCGGTGTCTCCGGAGGATGAGGAGCCGTCTGATGACAACGAAGACAAATCGACCGAAAGGGAGAAGCAGTTGTGCAGAGAGACTGAAGTTCCAGGTGAATGTTCTCACTTTCTGTTGAATTGCCCGCTTACCTGCCGCTGCTACACGGAGGCACAGGTGCGCAATATCACGTGTGTATGTGTGTGTGTGTGTATACATACATGATTTTGCATTTTCTGGGTAGGGGGCACGTGAGCCTTCCTACCTGCGCCGCCCTTCAGGATGTCAATCAACGGGACCCAACCAGTGATAACCCCCGGCCCCCGGTGATCACTGACAGGGAAGAGGACTGCTTTTGTTGCCAGATCACAGCCCCCCCCCCTGCAGGACGGCCCCCCCCCCCCCCCCCCCCCCCTGCAGGACGGCCCTCCTTCTTCCCCCCCCCCCTGCAGGACGGCCCTCCTTCTCCCCCCCCCCCCCCCCCCCCCCCCCTGCAGGACGGCCCTCCTTCTTCCCCCCCCCCCCCCCCCCCCCCCCCCAGGACGGCCCTCCTTCTCCCCCCCCCCCCCCCCCCCCCTGCAGGACGGCCCTCCTTCTCCTTCCCCCCCCCCCCCCCCTGCAGGACGGCCCTCCTTCTTCCCCCCCCCCCTGCAGGACGGCCCTCCTTCTTCTCCCCCCCCCCCCCTGCAGGACGGCCCTCCTTCTTCTTCCCCCCCCCCCCCCCCTTGCAGGACGGCCCTCCTTCTTCTCCCCCCCCCCCCCCCCCCTGCAGGACGGCCCTCCTTCTTCTCCCCCCCCCCCTGCAGGACGGCCCTCCTTCTTCTCCCCCCCCCCCCCCACCAGGACGGCCCTCCTTTTCCTTTCTCCCCCCCCCCCCCCCTGCAGGACGGCCCTCCTTCTTCCCCCCCCCCCCCCCCTGCAGGACGGCCCTCCTTCTTCCCCCCCCCCCCCCCCTGCAGGACGGCCCTCCTTCTCCCCCCCCCCCCCCCTGCAGGACGGCCCTCCTTCTCCTCCCCCCCCCCCCCCCCCCCCCCCCCTGCAGGACGGCCCTCCTTCTTCCCCCCCCCCCCCCCTGCAGGACGGCCCTCCTTCTTCCCCCCCCCCCCCCCCACCCTGCAGGACGGCCCTCCTTCTTCCCCCCCCCCCCCCCCCCGCAGGACGGCCCTCCTTCTTTTCCCCCCCCCCCCCCCCCGCAGGACGGCCCTCCTTCTCCCCCCCCCCCCCCCCTGCAGGACGGCCCTCCTTCTTCTCCCCCCCCCCCCCCTGCAGGACGGCCCTCCTTCTTTCCCCCCCCCCCCTGCAGGACGGCCCTCCTTCTCCCCCCCCCCCCCCTGCAGGACGGCCCTCCTTCTTCTCCCCCCCCCCCTGCAGGACGGCCCTCCTTCCCCCCCCCCCCCCCCCCCCCCTGCAGGACGGCCCTCCTTCTCCTTCCCCCCCCCCCCCCTGCAGGACGGCCCTCCTTCTCCCCCCCCCCCCCTGCAGGACGGCCCTCCTTCTCCCCCCCCCCCCCCCCTGCAGGACGGCCCTCCTCTTCTCCTCCCCCCCCCCCCCCCCCCCCTGCAGGACGGCCCTCCTTCTTCCCCCCCCCCTGCAGGACGGCCCTCCTTCTCCCCCCCCCCTGCAGGACGGCCCTCCTTCTCCCCCCCCCCCCCCCCCCCCTCTGCAGGACGGCCCTCCTTCTCCCCCCCCCCCCCCTGCAGGACGGCCCTCCTTCTCCCCCCCCCCCCCCCCTGCAGGACGGCCCTCCTTCTCCCCCCCCCCCCCCCCCCCCCTGCAGGACGGCCCTCTCTTCTCCCCCCCCCCCCCCCCCTGCAGGACGGTCCTCCTCCTCCCCCCCCCCCCCGCAGCAGACGGCCCTCCTGCATCCCTCCCCCCTCCCTGGCCCTGCTTCCGCCCCGCCAGCACACAGGTAACCCTTTGATCGCCCCTCACATTATCCCATTCCTGCCCAGTGCCATTAGTAGTGTCAGTTCTGTTTTTTGTTTTTTTAGCACTGATCACTGTATTGGTGTCACTGGGGATGTCAGTGACACCAAGTCAGTTGTCCCCCCCGTGTCAGCCATAAAGTCTGTAAAAGCAATCATTTCTCCTCTCTGTTTGCATTCTTGCAGCCATTGAAAAATACTGTGTGAGCTGAGATTGGTCACAGCTTGTCACATGGTACAAGGCTGTTGTGAATAGCCCTGTACCATGTGATCTCTGTGATCATTCACACATTTCACACGTAGTAAGCAATGATGTCAGAAGTGACATCTTGCTTACTACTCTGCATGTAATCACTGATTGGCCAATCAGTGATCACATGATCGGGACTCGCACAGAGGAGGACACAGCGGACACTGGATCATGGTGCCGTACGATCCCAGGGAGCGCGCACAGGCAGGGAATGCGGAGGCCACCCGCTCCTGCACCGCTCCCGTCCGGCCATTTATGTACATGAGCCGGACAGGAGGTGGTTAAATTAGTCGCCGGGGAGGTGTATTTTTTTTTGTGGTTTTTTTTTTTTTATGTCTGCTTGAAGGTCAGCAAAAAAAAAAAAAATCTTTTTTTTGAAAATTTTTTTTTAATTCTGTTCTTTTTTTTGTAAGGATGAAGAAATTGAAAAAATGAAGGAGCTGTGCGAGAAAAACCAGCAACTCCTCCAAGAAAACGATTTGTATAAACAGTGAGTGGGGAGGGGAAGGGGCGGGGCCAAATGTATTTTGTTACATAACCTATATATAAAAAATTCCTGCGTCTAAAAATAAAAAATAAATTCTATTAATAAATAAATGTCCCAAATCAGTGAATAATGTGCTCCGAAGACTATTTTGTTTTTATTATTCACTGATTTGGGACTTTCGTACTTTTTTGTTTGTTTAATATAATTTTTATTTTTATATACAGGAATTTTTTTTGTATATGCTTATTTAATCAGTTTATTTACTTTTTTTTTTTTTTTTTTTTTTTTTTTTTTTGTGCTGCGGTCCGGTCACATTTTATTGATGTTTCTTTCATCTATGAACAGCAGCATTTATTTGAGGTTTTGAATTTTCTTTTCCCATTTTGCGCGGGTTTACTTTTTTTCATTCAAAATTTATTTATTGCAGGTATCTGTGTAAAAAAAAAATTAAAATTGTGTGCACTTTTTGGTTTATTTGGGGGGGGGGGGGGGTTTGTGTCCTGTGGTGTGTGTGGGTTTTTTTTTTTGTTAAATCCTGACCTTTTGACCCAAAACATTTACCCTGGCTTTCTGGTTTTTTGTTTTTTTTTTTTTTGCTTTTTCTCTTTTCTTTTTCTCTTTTTTTTTTTTTTTTCTTCCTCTCTCTTTTTCCCCCCCCTCTCTCTCTCCCCCTTTCTCCCCCCCCCCCTCTCTTCTCTCTCTTCCCTCTCCTCTCTCTCCCCCCCTCCTCTCTCTCTCTCTCTTTCCTCCCCCCCTCTCTCTCTCCCCCTTTCTCTCTCCTTTCCCCCTCTCTCCTCTCTCTCTTTCCCCCTCTCTCTCTCTCGTCTCCCCCTCTCTCTCTCTCTCTTTCCTC